CGCGGCCGCCAGCCTGGTCCCGGGAAGAGGCGGAGGGCTGGGTGTCAGCGGGTGGCTGGTTCGTGCCGTGCCAGATGCAAGGTCTGCTGGCTGGGTGCTGGCAGGCTTGCAACTGGCACGGGCACTGTAGCCAGACTGTGCCCCTTTAAGGGCTCCGGGGCCGGTAGGGGGGCAGAAGAGTTTCCCTTGTTTGACCCAGAGTGGCCACCAGGGCAAGCTGGGAAGGGCTAGCCTCCAACTAGTTTGAATTAAGCGGCTACACAGCCCTTAATTCAAACTACTTAATTCGAACTAGGCATTACTCCTTGTAAAATGAGGTTTACCTAGTTCGAATTAAGCGCTCCGCTAGTTCAATTTAAATTCGAACTAGCGGTTTGTATGTGTAGCCCTCTATTAAAATTAATTCAAACTAACGGCTGTTAGTTCGAATTAATTTTGTAGTGTAGACATACCCGGCTACACAGCCCTTAATTCAAACTACTTAATTCGAACTAGGCATTACTCCTTGTAAAATGAGGTTTACCTAGTTCGAATTAAGCGCTCCGCTAGTTCAATTTAAATTCGAACTAGCGGTTTGTATGTGTAGCCCTCTATTAAAATTAATTCAAACTAACGGCTGTTAGTTCGAATTAATTTTGTAGTGTAGACATACCCTAAGGGTGCCAGAATAGAGAGGTTCATCCTGTACTGTCTTTTTTAGTCTTCTAAGATAAGGGCAGGGTTTTTTACTAAAAGGTCACTATCTACCTTATACTTAATGGAAATAATGGATAAATCTATTAGTAATTTAAATTTTTCTAGCAACGTATCTACTTGGTTAATTGATAATATATATTGTTTATTAGGTGCAAAATTCCCTATTAAATGGACAGCGCCAGAAGCAATTAACTATGGCTCCTTTACTATTAAATCTGATGTGTGGTCATTCGGAATTCTTCTGTATGAAGTTGTTACCTTTGGAAAGATCCCCTATCCAGGTATGGACGTTTATTTTTATATCATTATGTTGTATTTATATTCTGATGTTCTTTTAGGGAGTTAAAGAAAAAGGTTAACTAATGAAAAAGAGCTCATTTCTGACAAGAATGGCAGTGTTGGGGGTTTGATATGTGTATGCTGCAGGCTACCTCAAAGAATTTGAAAATTCTCAGCCATTTTATACATACGTAACGCTGCGTGTAACTTTGTGGCAGCTTTAAATCAGCAAGTTGTTAGTTCTAATTTACCGCTAAATTTCTTCTAAGAGCCCAGTAAGCAGTGGAAGTGTTGGTGATGCTGCTAGACAATAGTGACCACCTGTGGTTTGGCAAATTCTCTGGTTCAGTTTAACTTAATTCTCTGGCCCATATTGGCAGCCACTTTCTTACTGGTATATAGTACCGGCCTATACCAGCCCACTTTCAACTCTAAATCTAAAATACAAATCCAGCATACTGTTGTACTCTCATGTTTTATGTACTCAAATGATGTCAAAATCGTAGTCAATGCTGAATTCCCATTATTGTCACTAAGCCTGATTTTCAATAGCTTGCTTCAAGTGGTTTAATGACAGACTAGAAGAGATATCATTACAAGTTGTGTATCATTGCTGTTTGTAGCTCCTTGAACAGGTGGAATTTCAAAGGAGACCGACAAAGCAATTCTGCTTTTACATCAACAGCCATTATATTTTATCAGCATTAGACACTACAAAACAACATGAAGGTGAAGTTTAGAGAAGTGCTGATTTTTTTTCGCATTGTAATATTGACACTTCAATATTAAGCAGCTGTGACACAGAGCTACACTGGAGGTTTCTTACCTTAGGCAGACCAGATTTATTAAGCAACCCAATGCTGATCTATTTTTCTTTTAAGATATTTTTACAAAAAAAAAATGCAATCTTTTAGTTGTCCTGGCTTAAGCTAACAAAAATCCTTGTATAAAGGTGATAGATATGACTAATAAAAGCCTTCACTGATGCAGAATTAAAGTTGCGTGGTGGTATCTTGCACCTTTTTGAGAATGTCAAACACAGCACAACTCAAACAGCTGGAAATCAGGAAACAGAGTGAAAGTAATGCTTATGCTAACACAAACTTAACTCTGCCAATCTGGAGCTGGCAGGAGTCCCTGAGAATTATCTGCATGCGTTGAAGCTTATGGTCATGTTAAGTTTATGTTCATGGTGTTAGGTCTAGCTGTGTGGCATGGTGTGCCCTTGTGATATGAGGGCACATTGGAGAGGGGGGGTTGTGCAGGTAGCTAAGCCTTGCTTCCTGCCATCTTCCCAGTGTGAAAAGAGGTGCCCTGAGAGAGCCAGTATGCCTCATGTCAGCCATGGACTTATTGTAGGTTATGCCAATAACGCAGCACAAGTCTCTTCTCACCCTGGAGACTGTCAGCAGTGATGTGGGGTATGAGCACATTCTATGGGTAATCGTGTTAGCTGGCACCCTGTGCATAAGGGTGAAGGGACTGTAAAATTTAGCAGAGGCAGGATTGTTTGTGGCCTGGGCTCAGTGTTTGAGTAAAGGGCAGGTGTAGGTTACTCTTCAGTATGTCACACCTCAAGACAAGCTTTGCCTCAGCAGACAAAGGTATTGGTTTCTATCTCACATGGTAAAGTGCCCTATCCCGAGTGTTCTGCTCTATCTACAAAGGCAGAGTGCAAGGATAGGTGGCAGGGATGTTTTGGGGAAATGCTCAAAGAGGACAGAGTTAAGATTGCATCAGCACAGACTGTAACTCTTTGGTTTTCAAAAGTTAAATATGTCATTTTCAGGGTTCCTAGATTCTGATATACAGACAGGGAGCAAGGAGACCATGCCCAGAGAGAAGGACCCCTACATCCCTGCACGCGCGCGCGCACACACACACACACACACACACACACACACACACGGAAAAGATCTCCCAAGAGCCTTCTAAAGCATACATCTACACACACTGGAAGATGAGCATATATATAATCTTTTTTGCATTCAAAGAATTTAAAATCACAAATGTAAATCTCCTGGTTTGTATTGAAAATATAATATGAAGAGCTGGCATGTGACCAAAGTAATTGTGGGACCAGAAAACAGCTATGAAAACACAGCTTAACAAAATAATAGTAGGGTTTGATCGAGTCTGAGAACTAACACTTTAGAAAGAAACATGGACTATTTTTGTCTTCAGTAGAAATAATAAACAGATGATTCAGTTCTAGTAAGAATACCCTAAAATATTTTTATTAATAGATGAAAACTAGCTAATCTAAGGTTTTGTATGTTATCAGTTTATAAATCAGTGAAATGGTTTGAATTATATTTGACAAGTATGAAGGGAGTATAAACATACAATTGGGCAGAAAGCATTTACAGTCCAGAAAACTGGGGTTCAGTGGCTATTTTTCTTTCTGATAATCTTGAAGTGTTTAGTGGGATTTATAGTTACAGAAACTATTTTGAAATATAAAATGCAAGTATCTGATTTTTGTAAGCAAACAATTTGAGCCAGTTGTAAACTGTAGTTTCCCGACGATCATACACTATTTCAAATATTGGACACATTCAGTACCATTGCCTGTTGTCTGGTACACGTACCTTTCAGATCTAGATTCTTCCTCCATTACCCATAATCAGTTACCCCCTGATCATCACCAATACTGAATGTAAGAGAAATAAGAGGTTTCAACATAAGGAGTTGGTTCTGCATTCTGTCAAGTTTAACAGCTAATTTTTGTCAGCACTGCCTCAGGCTACGTCTAGGCTACCGGGTTTTTCCGGGATACCAACGGTATCCCGGAAAAACTCCACCCCATCCAGGGAATGCATCTGCTCTTCCACTGTTTTGGGGGGGGAGGAAAGGGGGGTAGAAGAGTAGATGCAGTCTTTCAGAAGCCCTGTCTTCCTCCTCCCTGAGGAAGAAGGGCTCTTCTGAAAGAGGAAGATTTTCCAAAATTTGGCCCAATGTAGACAGGCCAAATTTCAGAAAAGCCTTCTCCAAAAGAACTATCAGAAAAAGGTACTCAAATTGCAGAGCACATTGTGCATACCTTTTTCTGATAGATCACTGTAGTTTAGACATCACCTCAGATTCATAAAGTTACCATTCTGTATAAGGATGAATTTCAATTAAGTAATATGTGTTTTTAGTGAAACTGTTCATTAAGAAATATTCTACCCATAACAATATCTCTGACAATTAGAGAGACGCTGCTACTGTTCTGTATCTTTAACTTATAGCAGAATCTATGTCAACAGATCAAGCCGCATAGCTGGGAAATATTATTTATTCAGTATACGTTTGTATATGTGCGCATTCTGTTCTGTGTTGGCATGTGTACTTAAAATGTGTCATTAACCTATGTTAACTCCCCATTATTCTCTTAGAAACTTGAAATCATTTTTTAAGGGTAGGCTTTTCACAAATGAGCAGAAGCACAAAATGGGGATATTTGCTCCACACATTCAGAATGTAGATCAAGCCCTGCAAAATGATGGGCATTTGAGCCCTAATCCTGCAAGGCACTTAAGAATATGGATGGTCCTACTCACTTCTTATAAATAGGAACATTCTTAAGTGGTTTTTTTGGGGACTAGAGCCAGGGTGCTCAGCATCTTGCAGGATGAAACCCAAAGTGACCAACTGTTGTTCTTGTGAATTGACGCTCATCCATAAAGGTGCAATATCAGAGTATGCATTTAGGTTTCAAATACATGTATCATTGGCTTCCTCTCCACTTCTATTTTCCATAAATGCCTTGGCCATTGCTCTGCATTTGTGCAGCAGCAAGCAACTCTTGTCCTATGACAATATCAGATTCCACTGATATTCTCAAAAGCTACGTTGATGTAAAAGCAAGTGCATTTGCATTACCATAACTAGGACAATTTCACTGCTTTTTACCATATGGAAAACTGAAAGCAAATATTAAACATTGGCCCAAACTGAGTTTTGACCTGAATTTTATAGCTGAGTTCTATTTCTGTGCTGGACTGAAACCAAATATGCAAGTATCTCTGAAATTTGGAGATGTTTGAATCTGGACCTGAAGTCTCCAACTCAGGCCTATTTCTAGTGTTAATACTTATATATTTTAATTCCCGCAAATAATATATTATTTATTTAACATATAAGAATTCAAGGAGTATAAGAAGACACCCATGCCTGTTTCTTTTCAAAAGAAAAAGCACTGGCTTATTCACTCACTAATGTACTGTGGATAGCAGAACTTTCACACATTTTATAATTGTCATTCATATAGATATTTTGAATATAAAATTACCAATTTCAGTTGTAGACTGCTTGCACTGCTTCCACTATCTTTGTGGACATTACATCCTGCTTTCCGAGGATATCTTGGCTCACTTTATGGAAATAAATGGATTCGCCTCCTCTTTGCCCCCTTTAAGACAGTATGCCGCCCCCCTCTCCCCCCAGCCCTGGTTTACACTAGGACTTCAAAATAACACACACCCCCAGGTCAAATTTATAAGCGGAGCGTCCACACTACCAAGCCTGTTGTTTCAAAATAATGGGCTGTGGAATTCAAAATCTGTACTCCTGCTTTTCATCAGGAGTAACGCTAATTCTGAAATAGTTATTTCAAAATAGCAGTAGTGTGAACGCTCCAATGCTGCTATTTTGAAATAATTTCTCCCCAGAGTAATTCGAACTAATTACTCCCCAATGCTTCCTGGGGCTCTAAGTCTGAGGTAGCGCATCCACATATATGGAGCCTGCCTCCAAAGTATAGTATTTAACTCTCCTCCATATTTTCATTTGAGCATATTTTCTTTGTTCTATCCTGTTGCCCCCAGCAACCTGGTATAGTACTCTTCCTGTAGTGTAGAGGCCAATCCAATGGTTTCCTTTATTTCTAACACTGTCTGAGAATCAGTTGTTAAAATATGCTATAAATACAATGTAACCCTCTCCCTTCTCTGAAATGTGCTTAGCTTTGTTCACCTCAGAAAAACCTGCTTCATTCATATTCGGATCTGCCAGCTGA